ATTAAAAAATTGTTATATAGTTCAGAGAGTATTGAAGGGAAATGCGGAGAACACCTTTATAAGACTATGAAAGGAATATTGTCCAAACAATTAACTGTAAATAAGTTCAAGAGAGAAATAAATTTAGATAGATAAATAAATTTTAAATAAATTTACAACACAACTGACTTTAACATTGAAATTTGGAGTGACTTAGATATCAAACAATTGATTAACCTTTTTCTCTAGAATGAGAGTAAGAGTGTGGCCATTAAAAACAAGAGATGATTTATATAAAAAATAAATTGCTTTGCCTTATTTTTAATAAAGATAATAAAATCAAATTCATGATATTGATAAGATATTTAATATTGGACTTGTTTTGACATTGTTAAAAATTTTTGTCCTTTCTTGAGAACATTTGTTCTCAGAAGAGTTGCGAAAAGCTTAGAAAAAGTAAAAAAAAAAAAAATTTATGATTAGAAGTAACAGCTACACCAGAAGAAGAATATGCAATAATAAGGCACAATTATTAGCGTTGATAAGAAAGACATCAGCTTAAGGAAAATTACAAACAAAAATACCAAAGAAACCCTAATCAGCTTTGAGGTAATAGTAATATATGTACAATGGTAGGATGAGTCTGATGATAGCATGGTCTGTATCACCTATAGGAGAACAAGAAATAACTGAGCAATAGCTAGGGACAAAGACAAGACACAAATTACTAACTGAAGTTAAGTGATTAGGGCTGTTTGGAAAACAAGTCAAAAAGAAATAAAGTTAACTTAACCTGAGTAAGATGTTTGTGAGAACAAAAGTTACACACTTTATAGTCAGCAAGTTCAGAGGTACAAAAGCCTAACTAATCAGTGTAATGAGCATTCAATACACTAACAACAAAAAAATTGGCTGACGGATAAAGAGAACATGTTTAGTCAATTTATTTAGAAATAACATTGAAAAGAATGCAGTTTTAAAAAGAGACAGAGAAAAATAAAGAACAATAAAAAAAGAGAGTGAAGAGGTGTTAAGCAGAAGCACATTCAAGAATGGTCAGAGGATTCAAACTTAACTTCTTGACTAATTGGTGATTTCGTACCTAAGGTTATGTCCAGACAAAACATTTGAATTTTGGAGTCTTAGTAACTCAAGGGATAATTATAACCAAGCAAAGATCAATAGTTGAAACAGTCGAATTCAAATTAGCTTAACAAAGAGCAAGTGAATTTTGCTAGAGGTAAGATTATACGAACAAAAAAGATGTTTCCAAGACTACAAATATTTTAAAAATAGATTGAAACAATTAGGTGGTGGTGATGACATTTTAGCAATTTCAGATACATTATATAGTATATAAGAAGTATGGTACCCTAAGTAATTAGCTAAGATAGTTCCCCCACTCTTGAAAATTAACCTTAAGTTGTAACAAAGGGCTCCTGATATAGCCTTGACAATGCTGCAAAGAACAATATTACGCAGGTTTACATCTACAACAGTCTAATAGAATTGTCGAGCATTGCCAAGAAGCCTGGAGTAATAATTTAGTAAGAAATTTTCCCAAATGAGATTATTATTGGAAAAGACCTTCAGTAGATAGATTTAAGACCTTGTAACTCAAATGTGAATCTAAATTTAATTTTGGTATATTTTAATAGTGATACTCAGAGTCAAAAAGTTAAAAAAAGTTATTAGGTAGTAGCAATTTTTATTGTTGAAAATATTTGCATAAAGCTAGTAAAAGTTAAATGTGAGTTATGCACTTAGTAGTGATTCCATTGATATAAATACAGAATGTATATGCAGCCCTCGAAATTAAGAAAAATGTGGTTGGAAATGATTTGCCAATCTTATTTTGTTAGAGGTCAGCATGAGTTCAGCAAAAAAATTTGATACAAAGGTTTTACCACTTAACATATGAACAATGTTCGCAATTTTTTGCATTTCTAGGTCGGTATTGCCGAATGCCGGCCCTAATTCCGAAGGCTGAATATGTGAGGATTATTTCTTGTCTTTTTGTTAATTATTGAACAGCAATAATTTTTTTTTATACAAAGAACAAATGTCGGTAGTCACAAAGATCTTGTATAAAATATTTATTTCTACTTAACTGTGAAATACAATTTTACTAATTTTATAATATAAAACTATATATTATATAAAAACTATATATTATATAGTTTTTTTATCGTTTGCATTCTACTTTTTTTTTAAAGAATCTAGTTGGTTCATACTGGTAATGCGTTTTTTATCCTTACAAAATGAGGACACTGCAGATTTTTCACCTTTCTCAAGGTTGAGGTGACTCATTACTCTCTGAACACCAGCAGTTCCCTCATTAAAATACAACGCAGCTGAGTTCACTACCAACTGAAACGAAGCTTTGTGATAAAATATGTTTTTTGGGCATCTGGACTATATAATACTGTTGAGTTCCTTATGAGAATTCTTCGTTTGACGATGAGTGCTTTTTTTCAAAAGGTTGTTATCACTTAATTCTTGAAACTCTTTCTTATTAATATCATATATATCCAATCGGGTAAATTAACTTTCTGTGTGTAATTGTTGTTACATGCAGAATTTCCTTTCCTCCACTTACATCAGCTATCAGGACCCACTGAACATAATACTTAGCAATGAAACTGATCCGGAAAATTGGTACAATGGTAAATAACTGCGCGAATGTTCTTTTCATTTGGTATACCTTTTCATTTTCATTTAAAGAATTATTAGCTGCAGCTTGTCGAATAGCCATACCAAAATAGTTTTGTATTCTATTAATTGCACATTCTGTCAATTTTCTTTTTAAGTTAATTTTTCCAGTTAACCGACTACCATGTTTATCTTTTGTTCGGTTACGTAGTCTTGTACCGATGCGCTTCTGGATATGACCAACACACTCTAACTTTTCCGGTTCGATTTTAAACTTTCCATATGTATTACTGTTAAGAACATCATTGAATGCAAAGAGATCTCAATCGCCCAAATGATATTTATAAATCAGATCATGTTTTTTCTACAGAGCGATTAAATACCTTTATAACTCCAGCACTTTCAATTGTTCCTGACGATGCTGTATGGTTTAAGGAGGAAATATGATTCGCTTTCTATTCAGTATAATCTGGATGGTTCTGCTTTTTTTCAACATTCTACATCACCTACAATACTTGCAAAAGACTTCAAAATCAATACATCGCCCTTCTGGAATTGTGGTCACACTACAATTCAGTGAAACATGTCCGCGTTTTTGCAATGAGCTATCTGAAGAAACTTTGATTAGTTTTTCTCCTGATCAAATGTGTTCCTTTTCAACTTTATGTTTAACTTTTATTGCTGCTGCCTTTGTCGATTTTTTTGCAGATAACTTATACATTTTGAATAGTGTTGAACGGAAAGCAATAACCATTCTAAGGTTGATATCAAAATAGTTTCTGCCTTGTTTTGGTACGGCTTTTTGTAACATTATCAGATGTATATGTGTAATACTGAAATTTACATTTGGTACATTTAAAATTCGACTTGTGAGAAAATCCACTTTCAGCGGCGGATCCAGCATTTTTTGGTCTTTGAAAGTTGAGACCTTGACACAGCTCTTTGAAAGTTGAGACCTTGACACAGCTCTTTGAAAGTTGAGACCTTGTGGGCTTTTTGAAACAAAATCAAGCCATGGTCTTTCTTATACAACGTGCATAGTTTAGAAAAAGGTCTTTTATACAAAAAGCAGAAAAAAATGTTAAACATTCAATGCTAAAGTTGCATTCAAAAGATTATATCATGAGGCGCGTAGTTTAGAAATGAAAAAGTTTTGAGAAATTTTGCAAAATTGTAACTAAGTAACTAACAGCATTAGGCATTGACTGAACTAATTATAATTAAGATGACATAAGTATGAACATTTAAAATTTTAGAGTTTAGAAAGTGCCAGGTGTGTAAGTGACTTACCAAAAAATTCTGGACCCAACCCTGAGAAGATTATACATAAAAATGAAAAAATAAATAAAAATAAAGATCTTTCAACGAATAATAAACCATAGACAAGACATTCTCTGTAATTATTATCAACGTGAATCTTTTTAGTTATAAAAAATTAATGCGATTGCAATATTTGTTCTTAGCTTTATTACAATTAAAAAAAAAAGAAGAATCAAACAAGGACACTTAAAAATTCAGGACATTCCGGGATAATATATTTTATCTTGAATATTGTCAACGCTATCAGATCCATTACCACACATAAAAAAAAAAAAAAAAATTGACCACAAATATTTAACTGCTATGCTTGCTTTTATTGATTAACTAAAAACAATAGCGAATTAACATTCCTCTTATTCCTCTTTTAAATAAAACAAAATAAATTACAGCATGGTCTATAAAGTTAGGCTTAAAGCAGTATTTCAGAAATAATATACAGCAATTTGTACCATTGTATTGCAAACTCAACACAAATACAAACAGACAAAAAATAATTTTAATTATTAAATGCCTACATTAATATTCCTACATAAATATTATGTGAATGTTATTATAGGTTTCTTTTTTAATTTTCTATTTGTTTGTCCTTATTGTGGCAGTGATTTTAAAGAGTCATACATTAACTATGTTATAAACGATTATTCATGAATGACACCGCCTGGATTTAAATCATCACAAGTAGAAAAAAATAACAACTACTCATTACATTTTGACATAGACTTATGTGCAGTAGCTATGAAGTAAATAGCTACCCAAAATAAATTGAACATCATTAAACCGATAGCAGGTAAAAGAAATGTCGTTTTTTTTGTTTTGTGCAAACAACAAACACAGCACATACCCAACAATGCACCAATAGGACTGCCATAAAATGTTAGCCAAAGCAAAACAATTTCAGCAACTCTCCATCGATTATTTTTGGCGCAATATTTATCAAACCAAAACACCAACGCTGTTAGAATGTTTAAGATGAGCAGGTAAATTGCTATCACTACACGCATATCTGTTTTTAAAGAGCAACCGTATGTTGCAATAAAAACTGTCGTGGACACTGTCAGACCAACTGCTGTTAACATCTGTGTGCACTTTCCACAACAACTGCAATAAGATGCATCCTAAATAAAATTAAATTTAAAATAAAATCTTTATGATATTTTCAAAAGCATTATTCAAAAACTATCGTTATATTCTGAGTGATAATAGATTGCAGATAAACAGGTGTTTACAACAGTAATTAAATGCTTAAATAACTCCATAAATAAAAAAGATGCCTAAAGTTCAAATATCAGCCCCACTAATAATGTAATAATCCTACTCAGAGGCGATTTTACGGGGGAGGGGGTACAGGATAAGGGGTGGGTGGGGAAAGAAGGTGATTTTTAAGTTAAGTTGTTTTTTTTTACAAATTTAGTCAGCAGTCGGCTATTTGACACAATTCACTCGGTTAAATTTTTGTTTTGAAGACCTTTTTTTTTTTAAGAAGCTAGTCGGTACTTTTTGAGGATTCACCCCCCCTTCCTTTCATTTTATTTGTAGAATCGCCTCTGATCCTTCTGTAGATACATGTTTTACTCAATTAAGTCTCTAATATTAAAGGGATTTCTGTTATTGCATTGCATTCCCTAATATTGGGAGGACTCCATTTATACTAAATTCCCAAATATTGAAAAAATTATATTCTTTTTAGTTGATATTCTAATAGTAGATAGTTATATTCATTAGGTATAGAGTTTTAAAGCATCAACTGGAGGTGAAGTTTTGAAAAGCATTCAACCATTTAACCAAAAATATATTTTGGGTGAAATGATTGAATAATTTTCTAATAAGAAAATTTATTAAAAATAACACCACCTGTATCACTTGAATTAGGATATAACTAGAGTTGCCAGATGTCCGGCTTTTACGAAGAAGAACACAGTAAAAAAAATTATTTTACAGTTTTGACACTATATTCTCCTCCGTAAAACCTGCATGTCTGGCAACCCTAGACAACTGCTAATCTAAAAGTGTCTGAATTTGACAATTTTTTGCTGATCTCATTTCTGTTATTATGGTGAAACCTTTAAAATTTAAAACCGTTAAAAATTTTTGTGGTCTAAAACTGAATCTAATATTAAAATTTCTCAAATCATAAAATATGACATTTTGATCTTCAACAAACATTTTTGATTACACTGGTTTACAAAAAATATATTGCAACAAATTTGTAACCTAATCTTACATAATTTTAATACGCTGAATTCATCAGATTTTTAGGGCAAGCTACAGATTTTTTGCAATAAATATTTTTTTGTTTTGCAAACTTATTAGAAAAAATTCTAATAAAACAAATTCGAAACTAATTTTCAAATACTAGAATATGTTTTCAAAAATTTAATTTTTTTTTTACAAAGTTAAAACAAAAATAGAAAGTAGACTAAGATAAATGTGAAATAAAAATGAATATAGTCCTATCAAAGTCATCAACTTTTTATTGATTGATAACAATATAATATTTTACTTTAAGAAAATAATTGCAGATAGTATGGTTTAATTAAAACTACTTAATCAAAACTTAATTAAAATTAATCAAGAAGAAATTTAAGCTTGTTGCTCTTTCATTTATAAAATAAAAAATTTTTTGAGTATAAAAATGAATGTTTTTAGTATATAGTTGCAGCAAATAATGCTGCAACTATATACTAAAAACAATCACTATATGTTTTCGCTGTCTTAACAAATTGGGGACTTCCAAAAGGTAAATTCCTTTGTTTTCCTATTATCCAATCTTTAGACTTTATTCAAAAATATGGCACAAAGTATGTGGAGCCCACATAGTGCATAGCAACCACAGAATGAGTTAGGATTATGTATGCGCTTATGTCAATTTGAAGAAGATATCATATTATATATTTGATCTGAAAAAACAATTAAATGGTTACTTTTTTCATAACTATTGAATGAAAATACCTGTGTAAAACAATATTTTTTTAAAATTAACAAATTTCTCCAAATAAAATGGAGCTTATATTTAGGTTCAGTGTTTAAAAATACATAAAAATCAGTTTATCTCATTCAACACCAAAAAAAAAGTTTTTTTTTGTAGACCTGTGTTATTCATACTTACATCTAATTAAAACGTGAACTACCAATTTTATAACAATTTTACAAGTTATACCTTTTGTATATTTTTTGTTGATTTGAATCAGAGTTGAATTTGATATGCCTTAGTGTAGTGATTGAATCACTGGCCTCAGAATCATGAGGTCCAAGGTTCGATGCCTGTCAAGGTAGATTAGCCTATAAAGCAGGCTTGAAACTCCTTGTTAAAAACTCTTCTCTGACAAAACTATTGGGTTTTCTCGAAGCACCTTAACAACCAAAAGAAAAAAAAAAGAAAATTACTTAATAACATTTTATGTAAATGAATACTTACAAGAATACCTAATGGTCTTATCAAAGAAGCGCCCCAGAGGAGCTTTTAGCAAGTACATTTATACTTTCTTTTTTACTTATATACTGTGAGATAATTAATTTATTGTTAACGGTTTGTTTTTTTAAATACCTAGAAATGCAAAGAAAAAATGTTAAAAACACTGACTAGTAAATAAATATCACCTATGTTTGCAGAGTGGAAATGAAAACATCATAAATCAGTTGAAAATAAAAAGAATATTATTCAGTTGAAAACAATTTAGGTCTCAGTAGGATACCAGGAAAACATTTTCAATTTTTATTAGATGTTTATTTTTGTAAATCAATTCATTGATCTAGCATTTCACACTAACATTATTTTTTTTAATTCAGAGGGCTGGCTGTATATACTTGCCAAACTTTAAATATTTAAATATAATTTAGCTTTATTTATTTTTTCAAAACTGCTACTTTTTGACATATAGTTAAAAAATTTAGTTAAAAAATAATATGTTTTTGAACTTGAAACTTTAAGAAAAAAAAAATATTAGGAAAGATAAAACTCCCTCTCCCAATAACTTATTAATATTATTTATAAATCTTTGTAATATAATTTTGAGTATTATTATTTTTTGCTTTTCAATTTTTCATATTATTTTTAATTGAAATAGGAAATTATTTAAACTTGAACTTTTGACAAAAAAATTTTTTTTTTCTTGTTTCATTGAATTTAGCCAAACTTTTAAGCTTTATTTTAACCTTACATAAAAAATTACACTGCAGCAAACAGTAATATTTTAATTGTTAGCATAATTTTTTAATAAATTATACTTGAATTCAATATGAAATAGTTGCAACAAATATGATGTTGAACGGATCCTATATTGGGACAGGTGAGACTCTTTAGTCGTGGTTACCTAGGAGTAAAACTGATACAAAAAATTTTCTTCTGTGATTTATAGCAGAAGTAGCTCATAAACTTTGAATGTTTATCTTCCTAGTGATAGTATTTTAATATCACACTAAAAATATTGTCTTGATCAAATCTTTGCAGAAATTTAATTGTCTACTAGTGCATATTTAGGTTGCTTACTTATATTTCAAAAATATCTAATGTAACAATAGAAATGTAAGAAACAACTCAATTAGATAAACTGAAAATAGGGACTTGCAAAATTAAATGTAAATTTAATAACTCAAAGTAATGGAGATGAGGAAAGGAGGAGGAGGGGGTCATACAAACATGTTTAAACAATAAACTTGTTTAAACATGTTTGTATGACTTTTATTTAGATTACCATACTAAAATAGCCATCTGCAAAGGCTTGAGTACATACGTAGACTGAGAATTTGGATATATAGGGTGGCTTTTTGATAAAAAAAAAAAAATTACATAAAATGTCTTAAACTCATATAATAAAAGTAATTCAGGACAATTTTCATTGAAATGTATATAATATTATTGTACATTACATATAATGTAAAGAAATTAGGATTTGTAAAGTAATTTTCATGTTTTAGCTGTATTAGTACTTAATTGGCCATCCTTTGTTTCTTATGAATACTGCACATCTAAAAGGCATACTTGCCATAAGTCATTTGGCAAAGCTTTCCAACCAGCAAGAAAAATTTGAAACAGTTCATCTTTATTTGTTGCCCTATGATCTTGCATTTTTCTATCCAATGTAGACCAAAGATTTTCTATACGATGTAAATCAGTAAACTGTGCTGGCCAAGATGTAACTAACATCAAAATTGATTCCAGATATCTTTTATTCAACCATGCTGTATGTTTGGAATTATCTTGTTGAAAGATATAGTCATTATTAGTGAAAAGTTTTTCTATACTTGGTCGAAGTCGATTAACAATGATTTTGTGATACAAATGCTGGTCCATGGTACCCTCTACTCGGTAAAGCCTTCCTACTTTGTAAGCACTTTAACAACCCCAAACATTAGTTTTTGTTTTGTCATGTTTATTGGTTGCCTTGCATGTTTGAGGGTTTTCCCCAATTAATTTCAAGCAGTGAGATTAACTATTATAAAACAACACAAAAGGAGACTCATCACTCCAAATAACTTTAGTCCATTTCTCACTTGTCCAATCTTTGTGCTCATTTTAATCTTTTTTTGCAACCGATTTCACTTACAAAGGGTTTTTTTACTTGCTTTCCAGCAAAAAACTCACCTGATGCTTTTTCTGACGAGATATTGTCCATTTTGATTAATTAGTAAGATTCAAATCTAGTATTATATTAGAACATGTAATTTTAAGATCTTTTTAATGGCCTTAAGAATAAAGCGATATTCCTTTTTCGAAGTTTTAGGTTTTATCCTAGGTCCAACAGACCTTTCAACTGTACCAGTGTGTTTATATTTCTTCACCAATCTTCTAATAGTTAAGTTTTGTCGTATAAAACGTTTTCCAATGCTTCTGTGAGACTCTCTTTGGTCAGCAGCTTAATAATTTGTTCAATTTCTATATCTATTAGTTGCTTTCTAAAATATTAAATGTGTTTATATTAATCTGTTTTTTTAAGATTTTGTTTTTATAAATATTAATGTATACATAAACATGCCTTTTCTGTCCAATTTTGCTTCATTGTACATGTACTATTGTACATGTACTATTACATGTACATGTACATGTAATGTATACATTATATACTTAAAATCAAGAAAAAGTGTGTTTTTTTTTTTTTTTTTTTGGCAAAAATAAGTTTTTTTTATTATTTTTTTTATAGAAGTTAAGTGTATTTGAAGTTATTACTTTTTTTGTGTTTGAAAAACGGACAACTTTTTGAGAAAAGTATGAAAAAATTGGCTTTGTAATGGCACCAAATTAAAATAAGAAAACATCAAAAATCTAAATAAAATATTCGCAAAAATCAAAATAAAGGACACACAAAGGAAAAAAAGCACAATACACATATTTTCTACACAAAAACCTTAAGGACTATTTCATCAAGAAAACATAAATAATACTTGATTTAAACAGAGGAAAAACTATAGTTGCTTTCTTCATAAGAAACCTATTGCAAAAAAATCTTTTTTTTTTTTAAATAAACTGACCTTTTTTTTTAAACGCTGAGAACTAAAAAATTATGTATAACTGCTAAAAAGGTAGATAAATAACAAACCTTATCCATGAGGTATCAAAAACCCAAGTTAACCGTTGTATTTTATTTTTATTTAAATATCACATTCAATTATGTGGAACTTTCAAAGTTGTGATGCTATTTCAACGTTTTACTATTAAATCATATTACAAGGTTCATCATTAATCATAGAAAGCTTAAAGCTGCAACACATCCTAAAGAACACATTTCTAAAATAAAACTTAATGCAAATAAATAGGGATTTCCCGGAAATTTTCAACTCGATTAATTTTCCGGAAAATTTCCGAAATTTTTGAAATTTTCAATAACAAGTAGAGTTATTTTATAATTAATGGGTAACATTTTATGTCTTATTTAGGCAGTTTCTATGGAAAATTTTATGGTAAAATACTGTGAAGTAAATTATAAAAGTTCTTGAAAGCTCTCTTTTTTTGGTATTTTGTTGAGTTTTTTTATTGTAATTACAAGTAGCAACAATGATAGTTTGCTTTCTATTTTTTTTTTAAATTGTCTTGTCCTGTTCGGAACAGTAGAAAACTTCGTTTAACGCTAAAAATAATTTGCACCTCCATTCCTAACGGGGAAGGGGTATTAGTTAATGTCGATCAAATTGGTCCACAAATTACTGAAAATTGTAAAACTGTATATAAAAAGATATTTACAGTACTTTATAACTTTTTATTGATTGACGTTATTAACTAATGAAAGACAAAAAATAACATTTTTGATAGGTGCCCCAAGAAGACCTAATGGTCTTGTCACAGAGCACCGCGGAAGTGCATTTAACTAGGAAGTTCACGCCTCCTTTCTTACCGTGACACAAAAAAATGTCCAGACTTGCTTTTAAGACTCGAGTCTTAACCTCCTATAGCCCACTTTATTTTTTTGTCGTGTAAAAAATATAATTTTTTGAATTTTAGTCACTTATCATTTTAATATAATAATGAAATTTCAAAAAACATTTTTTAACAATTTTTTATATTTTTGGGGCCAATTTGGGGTTCGTTGCTTCCAGGCAACAACGGACGCATAAAGTACTAACTTTTTTTATTCTAACACAATATTATTTTACAAGAAAAGCCCAAGTTTTTTATCTTTTTTGATTTTCATTTTATTAAGAGAAGTGTATTTGAAATTTAGGATTCATGGAAAGTTTTAAAACAGTTGGATGTCGGCGTAAAACAGAGACGGACATAACACTTGGAACGCTTTATTTTAGGGAAACCATTACAACGAGGATATCTACATCTCTCTTTTTTATCTGTGTACTCTGACTAATGTTCATACCCATCATTTCTAATAAGTTTGTTTGGAATTGGCGCTGCAGGACCTCTTTTTTTTCTCATTATAGATCAGATCAACTGATGTTGAAGGTTGTCCTTTTCTGATTAACCTTTTTCCTTGCACAATTAATGATTTGGCAATTGACAACTTGAAACTTGATTTTTGGTCATAAAATTTAAAAGTATCCATCTAAATAAATATAAAATTATACCTACAAGAATGGACTTGGCAACTAATGAACGAAATTACTGGTAACACTAAAAAAATTTCGCAATCTTTGCCCTCAGTTATTAAAGTAGATGATAATCTTCTTCTTGATCAAAAATCAATTGCTTCTGAATTTAATATATATTTTGTATCTGTAGGACCAAACCTAGCCGAAAAAATTCCGAACCCTAAAAAATTAATAAAAGCAAGATATGACCCTCTAAACTCGTATCTAAATTCTTTTGATTTGTCTTTTGAAGAGTTTGAAAGTGCTTTTAAATTGTTAAAGTCAAATAAAGCAGTTGGTCCTGATGATGTCAACGGAAATATTATTATAAGCTGTTTTGACGTTTTAAAAGACATACTTTTCCAAATTTTTAAATGCTCTATTAATTAGGGAGTTTTTCCTGATGATTTAAAAATAGCAAAAATTATTCCTATATTTAAAGAAGGAGAAAAAACTAATGTAAAACACTATCGTCCAATTTCCATCCTCTCTGTTTTTTCTAAAATTTTAGAAAGAATTTTGTACAACAGAATATACAATCACCTTTTAACAAACAAATTATTATATAACATGCAATATGGATTCAAAAAAAATAATTCAACAGAGCATGCAATTAATCAGCTTACAAGAAATATATCAGACTCATTTAACAATTCTAAATTTACATTGGGAATATTTATTGATTTAGCGAAAGCGTTTGATACAATTGATCATCAAATTCCTATTAAAAAATTAGAATATTATGGTATAATAGACAATGTTTTAAAATGGTTGAAAAGTTATTTAACTAATCGTAAACAATTTGTTTATGCTGATAAATCATTTTCATCAAATTTGTTAAATATTACATGTGGAGTTCCTTAAGGATCCATATTAGAACCTCTTCTCTTCCTTATCTATATTAATGATCTATACAAAGCCTTGAATTTAATAACAATTATGTTTGCTGATGACACTAATTTATTTATGTCTCACAAAAGCATTCCTACTTTATTTCATAACGTGAACATCGAGTTAATCAAAATATCTGACTGGTTTAAGACAAACAAACTATCCCTGAACATTGATAAAACTAAATGGATTCTTTTCCATCTTCTTACCAAAAAACATAAACTGCCAATTAACATGCCTCCACTTGTTATTGACAATATACAAATTAAAAAAGTAACAGTAACTAATTTTCTAGGAGTTTGTTTAGATGAAAATCTTACATGGAAAAATCACATTAAAAACTTATCAAGTAAAATTTCAAAAAGTATAGGAATATTGTACAAAGCGAGAAATGTCTCAAATAAACAAACTTTAGTACAATTATATCACTCATTTATTCATTGCCACATAAACTATGCAAACATTGCTTAGGGTAGTGCAAATAAAAACAAACTTAAACCTCTTTATTGTCAGCAGAAGCATGAAGCACGTCTTATATATTTTAAAGACCGTTATACTCATGCCAAGCCTCTTTTATTTGAAATGAAAGTTTTTAATATATATGAGATTAATATTTTTAATATTTTTTGTTTTATGTTTAAATGTAAAACCAATTCATCCCCGATTTCTTTCCATAATTTGTATTCATCAAAAGATAAAAATAAATACATTTTACGCAATAATAATTTTATTAAGCAGCCCAATTTTCAAACAAATCTTTTAAATTTTGTATTGATTATCGCGGACCATTCTTATGGAATAAAATAGTTTTAAAAAATTTTACTGAGGATTTTATTAATCAAAGTAACTACTTTTCTTTTAAACAAAAGCTTAAAGAACTCATTTTTGCAATCAATGATTTAACAATATACTTCTGATATTTTAAAAATCACAAAAAATATTATTTTTTGTGATCTTTATTTTTACCAGTATATGTGTATCCTTAACAACTATAATTTACATATATAATAGATAAAACGCATCTTGTATTTATTATGGATTATTTTAAGTTTCTTACTTTTGTTAACTTATTTTTATTTTTTAACCTTGTAATTATCTTTTAAATTTTAACACAAACATTTCTTAGCGGTACTCGACGACAAGACCTTTTGGTCTTCTACGAGTCCCCGCGTTCTTTTATTTTCTAATAACGACCATTATATTTATATATAAATTTATTATTATATATTTGTATTTGAAATATTGTAACAAAATGCTTATTTTACATATAATAAAAGAACAAAAAAAAAAAAAAAAAAGAATGTTTTTTATTAGACAATTTCGGTATAATTGATATTTAATTTTAATTCCATTTATGCGCAATGTTACCTTAAGTCAACAAAACGTGTTTCCAAAAAAAAGTTACGTTTTGACTTTTTAAGCTGATATGCGCAACGTTTCTTTAAAGCAACGAAAGTTTAAATTATATTTAAAGACGTGTTTGATACAAAGATGATTAAAAAAATGCATAAAATTAAATTAAATATGTTATTAAACAATTTAGAAATTTTTTGAGCTGCAAAAAGATAAAGTATTTCTAAAAATCAAAGAATCAAAACTGACCTTATTTACAAGCACGCGAAACGTGAATTAGTGAAATTTGAAAAACTAATAAACCTGAGAATTCTAAGTATAGCCTTTAGTGTAAGTAAATTTTAATTGGTTGAATATTAAACTAAAGTTATCCACATTCATTTCCATATAAAATAAAATTTTAACTAAGTTTTTAAACCATTTTTTGGTATGTTGACCACAGGCAACTCGGGGCTATAAGAGGTAAAAAGCAAGAGCTCAGAGCACTTTTGACGTTATAAATCAATAAATTAAAAAAATATTGTTATTTTTTAAAATGATTAAATGTAATCCACATTTTCAAAACTAATACCGCCAAGTAGACGATTTGTGTGTGTGCTTTTTAAGCATCATACCAAGCAAATAATTTTACAATTATTTTACTAAATATTCAGATCAAATGTATTTTCTTATGTAATTTTTAAATAAATTAATATAATCTAACACAGCTAGTGCATTTATAACATTTTTATCGAAAAGTTTTAAATGCAATCTTCAATCATAAAAATCTTTGCTTCTTTAAAACATTTTACAAAAATAATACTCAATACAATTTGTTAATCTGAAAAAGATTTTTGTTCTTTGTATTTTGTGAATATTTTACATCGTAGTTGAGAAAAGTAAAGAAAGAAAAGTAAAGCTAGAAAAAAACATTTACTTTTTGTTGTTTTACAAAAGTAATCTACGTAAATTTAATATGCATTAATATACGTAAAATAAATATGTTACATATGAGCAGCCGTAGCGCAGTGGTTAGAGTTCAGGCTCAGAACCCAGAGGTCCAAGGTTTGAAGCCAGCTTTATGAGGTCCGAGGTCTCTATGAGGTCCGAGGTTCGAAGCCTGCAAGCGACTTTAGTAAGGAAAGAGGCGTGAGTGTCAATATTGCTACACACTCGTTAGTATGCCATCATATGAGAAAAAGTCATCTTTTTTACTAAAACAAGTTGTGTGTGCCTTGTTCAAAAAATAAAATTAAAGTAAGTATTCTGCTAAATTTACAAAACTTGAATATAAAGTTCATGAAAATTCCCTTTCTGCACAGTTAATAATCTTAATTATATAAAGGGAATAAAACTACAACAGCACATCCCAAAATTGGTTTTTGTTAATTATAAAAACAATATTTAAAGGGCGTATTTTTACTAAACTTATTGTAAAGTCAGTATAGCCATGTAGGTCTAACCACTTTCTTTTACCAAAACCTATTTTTAATATGACCGGTATGCCATCATTGACGC